CCCCCTCCAACTTTCCTTCTTCCCTCCATCATTCCCCTCTACCTTACTTCCCCTCCCCCTCTACCACTCCTCTCTCCCAAAATTTTGTGTAGTTCAGAGATCTGGCAAATGCTACCTCTGACTGGTCTCACCCCCATCTATTTGCTGTCTCCCGAGTCCCAGCTGATCAGAGTTCCAGCTGATCAGCTGGGTCTTCTTCTGTTGCCCTGCACAGGAGAACGGAACGGGAAAGCAGGATAATGGGGTGGAGAGGGAATGGAGATTTTACAGTAAAATCTTAGCCACTGAGCCACCGTGTCCCATCACATTTTTAATAGCTACCTATTAAACTGAAAGAAAATAATTCAGTCTAGCTTTGGGCTGACATTTTGGGAAAGGAAGATAAAACGGCTCCCTCCAGTCTTGAATTCATCGTACTTAGTAAGGAAATATTCTTTTAAATATGAGATGATTTTGTTTTTTACTCTGCTGCTTTGGGTGGTAGCTGAGTTGTCAGTAATAATTATTACTGTGCTCCAATAATGATTATGATTATACATTGCTTAGCTTGCCATGGTTCTGGTTCCTACAACTGAATGACTCACAGAAATAGCACTGCTTTCCTGTCTGCATTTCTGTCCGAGTTAAATGAAGAAATACGATAAGAAGTGTGGAAATGTCACATTCTTACCTGGGCCTTCACTGCGAGATCGACGGCCTCTCTTTGCAAGGGCTCCAACGTGGATTCACCTGTTCTGTGGCCTTCAGAAAATACCCATACTCTCAGCTAATTAGACAGGAAAGAACAAGTTTAATAATGAACACATTAGGCCTTTCTTCTTCAGCCAATGTATACAGTATTGACAAGGGAGTATCTTTGATTCCTGTAACACACTATTTCTCTCAACTCCATCAGTTCTAATAGCACTTTCTAAAAAGCTAAGCTCTATATTCCTGTCATGTGGCCCTATTCAAACAGGCCGAGGAAATCAATACGGATAGTCCTCAATTTATGACCGCAATCAAAAGCAGAATTTCCATTGCTAAGCAAGATAGTTGAGTGAATTGTCATGGATTTTATGGCCTTTTTTGTCACAGTTGTTAAGTGAATCATTGCAGTTGTTAATTGAATCATGCTGTCATTAACAATCCAGCTCTCCCATTTGACTTTGCTTGTCAGAAGTCAGGTGGGGAGATTGCAAATAATGATCACATGACCTCAGGATGCTGCAACATGGTAAATAAATGCCAGTTGCCAATTAATTTTGAGCATGTGACTGTGGGGAATGCTACAATGGTCATAAGTGCGAGGACTGGTCATAAATCACTTTTTCAGTGCTGTGGTAATTGCAAACAGTCACTTAATAAATTGTTGTAAGTCCAGATTTATCTGTAACATTACTGGGTTGAAACATGTTTTTTAGGACCTGTGGTAATTCAACCTATTCTATTTTGCCTGTTTCTATTTTAGAGGAACAAGGTAACAACGTGGCTTCTCATCTTGATCTGGAAACTAACCATTTTTATTTAATAAAAAATATTTCTTGCTGGATATGCAGCATTTCTTTTAATAAATACATTGGTATTAGTTCACTTAATTTCTTATTTTATTTATATCCTATCTGTATTATTTTTACAAATAATTCAAGGTGGGGAATATATCCAACACACACACAAAGTCCTCCTGTTTTCCCCACAACAACCCTGTGAGGTAGGTTGGGCTGAGAGAGGGTGACTGGCCCAAAAGTCACCCAAATGGCTTTCATGACTAAGACAGAACCTGGACTCATGGTTTTCTGATTTTTAGCCTTGGTGCCTTAACCACTACACCAAACCAACACTTTCTTAAATAGAGCCCTTCCAAGATTGAAGAGATCAGGGAGGAGGGGAGTACTATCAAGATCATATTCTCAACTGGCCCCACTACCATAAATTCTGCATATTTGAAATGACATAAGGACCTACAAATTTACTATATAACTAATCCACAGGGACAGGAATAAGAATCAAGGAACACGTTATACCTATCCTCCGCGAGCTGCACTGGCTGCCTATCGGTCTCCGGATACGCTTCAAGGTGCTGGTTGTCACTTATAAAGCCCTACATGGTATTGGACCTGGGTACTTGAGAGACCGCCTTCTGCCAATTACCTCCCAAAGACCTATTAGATCCCACAGATTAGGCCTCCTCCGAATTCCCCCCGCCGGCCAGTGCCGATTGTCGACCACCCAGAGGGGGGCCTTTTCTGTGGCTGCTCCGGCCCTCTGGAACGATCTCCCCGTGGAGATCCGGACCCTCACCACCCTTCAGGCTTTC